AAAAAGTGAGCTCCCCCAAAAGCATACTCTAACCTGTATGGGTTGTCTCTTTTTATTCAGAATTAAAACAATTGTTCCAATGTGGTTAAAATTCAAAGTGTAATGACATGTTTCCAATTCAAGATCAGAAGCTAGTACGTTGTGTTGTTTACAGAAGTGGAGGACACCAAGCGGACAGTTGTGGCATCTGAGAAGCTTCTGTCTGACTCTACAGTCACAACTGACCTGCTGACTCACTGTCTAACGTTAGCTTGAACCCAGGCGAGGCAGCGGAGTGAAGGGACAGACTTTATATGTGAGGATAAGTGGCCCATTGGTGTGTTGAACAAACGTCTCATCCTATAGTACAGTTACGTATTCCTGAGCGGTGTCGTACATTTGTACTTTGTGTTTGCCAATTTTGTGCTAAGTTATTTATTATTAACGTGATTTTTTGTAAAGTTACGGCCCTAACCCCCCGTCTACTGCGTCGTCTCACAATGTCTCAGTCAGGTGTGTGTCAGTCTTAAGGTTTAGGGAACAACAAAAATACCCCGAACCCCCGAAAACTGATCACTGAGAGGTTTCACTCTGTGTGTTACCTGCGGGGGGGTCCCCAGTGACTGAAGGCAGGAGTTTCCTCTCCCTCCCCCTCCTCTCTCTCAGGAAGGTGGCTGTGAACACACACACACACACACACACACACACCACACAACACACACACCACACACGCACACACAGAGTCACATACAGTGTCTGTGCTGGTTGTTTCTAACCATCAGGAGGTAAAGCAGGTTTCCTACCCATGCCCTCCTCTGATTGGTAGAGAGGCTCCTCCCTGGCTCCGCCTCTTCCTCCTCTGTGTGTCAATCATCCTGACAGACCTCCACAGGAAGAAAACAACAAACATTTTACATCAGGAAACAAAATCTTTCTGAACTCAGTGGAGCATCAGTCAGCCATATTTTTTCAAACTCAAACTGAAAGTGTCAACACTGAATTTTAGTTAAATGTGTCCAGAATGATTCACAACTAATCTGGAAGATCAGCATGCAGCCATAAAAACAAACAAAACAGAGTTTAAGTGACTAAAGACAAAGATAATAAACATAAAAGATGTGTCAGTCAGTAGGAAGACTCCACTGCCAGTTTCACACATTAAAAAGTGCTGCAGGAGTCGACCAGAAGAGGGCGACACAGGACAGTGAAACAACCAGCAACAGAGAGGAAGACCAAAGAAAGTGACAGAGAAGAAACAGAAACAGAAACAGAGTAGATGAAGAGGAGGAGACAAAGGAGATGAAGAGGAAGAGACAAAGGAGATGAAGAGGAGGAGACAGGAGACGGTGAAGGTAGCCGTGGAGCTGTAGGAGATACTGACTCTGTGTCGGTGTCGGTCAGAGTGAGCTCAGAGTCTGCTTCACTGTCTCTGGAGTCTGCAACACACACACACACAC